TTGACATGAAGGAATTTGTAGTGTTTTATGTAGTTATTTGTTTTTTCTTTATTTATATATTAAATTTTTGTATATTTTTTCTGTTCTTTAATCAGTACATTATTTGATTTTTTTCCTTATTTATCATGGATTTTATTTCTATCTCAATTATAATTATTTTTTTATATTTCTCAGGGATTCATTCCTTCTTGGATTTTTCCTGTTCTCTTTCCCTAACTTCCTTTCTTGTGTTAACTTTGTTCTTTACATACACTCTTGAGTTGTACCGTTAGCTCATTTATTTTCTTTTTCTTTTTTGGGTAAATATAGTTAAGACTATAAATTTACTTTTTATTTCTATAGTTACATCCCACAATTACTGACATGTTTATCCTCATTTCCAAATATTTAGTCAAATCTATTATTTCTTTTATAGCCCATTTGTTATTTTGTACTATTTTATTTTTAAAAACTGTTTGTTGTTGATTTTTATTTTGATTTTTGTGTGTGTCAGAGAATGTGATTTACATGTTGTAATATTGAACTTCTGGATTTTCTTGACTTCTTTCATCCTCCTCTTGACTGTTTTTATTTCTGGAATGCTAATTCAGTATCTTTATTAGGATTTCTTAACTTATATTCATGACTTTTAGCTTGTCTTTCATATACCAAAATCTTTAAATGTCATGTATTTTAGACACTCTCGTGCAATTTGCCAAGTGTTTCTTCAGGTATGTTTGTCTGCCATTTAGCCTATTTTACCTCTGTGATTTTTTTCTTTTTATTTCAGTGACTATATTTTCATTCTCCAATATGTTAGATCTTACATTTTTATACTCTCCACTTGTTTTTGATCATATCCACCTATTTTTGTTTTATAATTTCCTGTTCTTAATTTATTCCTTTAACATTCTGAGAATTTACATTTTTTAATTTTATTATTAAATTTTAATAATGTACATATACTTCTGTGTATCTTTACCACTAACAAAATAGGTTTTATTTGTTTCATCTGTACAGTGGGTGTAAAAAGCTCTATCACTAGTCATTTGCATTTTCCTTAATACCGTTATCTTTGAGCCTCTATTTATGTATGTTTATTCCCATACAAGATTTTCTGTTTATATATTTTGCCTGTTTTCCTGTTTTTGTGCTCTTGTCAAATTCTCATAGTACTTTGAATATAGATCAGTGGTTCTCAAATTATGTTCTGTGAAAGTCTGGGAGTCCCTGAGACTTTCAAGGGATCAGTAAGGTAAAAACTAATTTAGTAATTGTACTGAGATATTATTTGCTATTTCTACTGTGTTGACATTTGCACTTATGGTGGGCAAATTACTGCCACCTACCTAGTAGAAAGCAAGGCAATGGCACTGAACTGTACTGATAATTGAAGGGGGAAAACATAGTTTCTTTTTTTAACTCTCATAACTTCTTAGTTGAGACACTGCTGAAAACAAAAGCCAGGTTAACAAGGGAGAAAGTGGCAGACATTTATGTGTGTCCTATAATCATCATGCCAGAGAGGCCTCAATTCAAAAGTATCTCCTGTTGGTGGCTTAGGGGCTTGCTTACATAATATTTTAACAAAGAGCCATAAATCCAATATAGTGACAAAACAAAGGAGAGAGCAGTTCCAGTCTTCTAAAAGGTTAGAAAATGTGGAAAGATAGTAAAATCTGTTCCCAGCTTCCTTTGGTGCCTGCTGGTGCTTTCTCTGGACAGATTAGCAAGTGCTGTCTCCAGTAAGGAAGGACTGGTGTTCTGCCATTGGGCAAATAGAGGCTAAGGCAGCATGTTACCCTCCATTTTCAGTTTAACCTCATAATCCTCAATGTTTGGGGGAGAAATATTTTGTTTTTTTTTTCAGTCCCCTTTTTAAAGCTTTACTTTTAGAAAAGTTTACGTATTAAAATCCACGTTGGTAGCTTTGGGGAGATTTAGGTTAGAGGTTCTAAGGTAAAGAAATTGGCAAAGTGGGGAGAAATAGATTGAAACAAGTGGAAAGTAGAAAGGAACAAATTTGGGTTCTCTATCTTATTGAATGAGTCTTTTAGTCCTGAGAATAATCAGCTTAGTTGAGCAGGTGAGTCTGATTTCAGAAAAGAGTGTTCTGGCTGAATTTTTATCAAAATTCAGTCTCTGTGTGGTATGAGCACACTGGTATTTAGTTGGAGGCATTTTTACTGGAAAACAGAAAAGCAAAAGTTAATACCTGGAGCAGTCTGCAAACTGGTCTCTGAGTTTGGAGGGCAGTCAGCTGAGAATATTTTAATTTCAGCTCAAAGCATTTTCAGTTGGAATGTACAGGAAGTGGCAATTGGATAGATATTCCCAGATTGCCATTTGAATCAGGCATTCCACTGAACTTTCTGTACATAAATAAGTTGTGATGATTTCTCCGAAGTTTATATCAGGTTGTCTAGCATTAACTTGCAGGGCTTTAGGAAAATCAGTTTTGATGTGTAGGAATTTCAAGTCAAATGAGTGAGTGGGAGAAAAATGGGAAGTTTTAGTGTGGAGACTTATAGTCAGATACTGGAAGAAACTAAAAATTCAAGACTCAGTCTAGATAATTTTAAAAAAAACCTCAAAAATAATGGACAGGGCTAGAATCTAATAACAGGTACACTATAGTTTTTAATTTTTTTCTTGAAACATAATTTTTCTCTCTCTTATCACCCATTTCTACCAAATATCACAGCGAGTCCAGTTCTGTTGTAAAATAAGTTTTAGCCTCATTATAGTGCGCTTGATTAGTTAGATAAACTGTAGCAAGGCCGGGCGCAGTGTCTCACATCTGTAATCACAGCACTTTGGGTTGCCGAGGCAGGTGGATCACCTGAGGTCAGGAGTTCGAGACCAGCCTGTCCAACCTGGTGAAACCCCATCTCGACTTAGGCAGGAGAATCATTTGAACCAGGGAGGCAGAGGCTGTAGTGAACCAAGATTGCTTCACTGTACCCCAGCCTGTGTGACAGGGCAAAACTCCATCTCAAAACAAATAAATAAATGAATAAATAAGTAAACAAACTGTAGCAGGAATAATGATTGACCTTATTATAGGTTTTTTTAAATTTGGCTTTGCTGTAACTTGTCGTAAGGAAATGACTTTTAAAATGCTCTCCAGATTAGGAAGTCAAGCCATGGATTCACCCTCAGATATTACCTGCAGTACTTGAGTTAATTCTTTTCTTGAAGTCCCCAGAATATTTAGTTTTCTGGTAAATATTTTGATTTTGCTTCCAAAAATATATTTTACCCAAATTCTGCAAACTATAAATAGCTTTTATTTTTTAAATAAAGCTTTCTTTACTCTGGCAAACAAAAGAAAATCAGCAATGTTTTCAACAAAAAGCCATAAAAATCATTTTAGTCCTGCATCGGTTCAGTCCTACATAATTAATTCTTGTTCTGCTTGATGTTAGATTAGCAATTTGAGTCCAGTTTTTAAAATTCGAGTTATTCAAATTCTTACCCAGTCTAATTGTATGATCTTAGTGTACTCAGTGTATTTACTGTACTAATTATACTTAAAGTCTATTCCATGAATCTTCTTGAAGACACTTTAGGATTTGCAGAGAGCTTTTGAGGAAAAAATAAAAAGGAATAGAATAAAGCAGTAACACGTCAAAAGTGTTTATTAGGGACCAGTTTTGTAGGCACTCTGCCTAGCAACTACACAAATTCCAGACTCACAGAAGGCAAAAAGATGTTCAGTGCATCAGGTGAGTAAGAAGACAGTTTTATCCGTGAAGGAAAAAATTCCTGTCTGTCTAGGGAAGTACCAGCAAGGGCTAATCCTGCAAGTAGCCTCCACACTGCAGTGTTAACTCTTTTATGCACATAAACTGATCCTGAATTGTTGCTGGTTTGTGTGTACTTCTGCTGGAGACACAGAAGAATATACTTTTGAAATAGTGTTTCAGAGAATTTGGGGGATATTTGGGCTTAAATTGAGACTTAGTTCTATTTCAGGTAATACCTTGATATGGGTCAGTTTTCTGGAAAGAAAGAAAAGGTTTTCTTTCTCTGTCCCCAGTCATACTGTGACTCACTCCAGTTTCCAGCTCTGACCCCATAGATTCAGCTATGCTATGTGATATTTGTATATATTGTATACCTTTCATATTATAAATCATGATATATGTATGTGTGTATATATATATATATATGATAAATGCATACCTACACTGATGGATGAATCAGTACAAAAAGCATGTTATAATTTTTGTTCAGAAATGAAACCTATAGAGGTCTCTTCATTAATTAGAAGCTGTCTTGTCTCTACTCCAAATACAAAGATGGAGAGTAGCTAAGTATGAAGCTTTTTCTGAGCATAATTGAGGAATAAGCAGGGAGGTCTCCCTTGCTTAAAAGAAGTAGCGACAGAACTTCCTGTTTTGGAAGATGAACTTTTCTAACTTTCGGTATTGTAGTGAATTTCTTTTCATTTTTATTTTTCTTGTGTCATTTCAGTGAGAATTTGGGATGGGCAAAATATATATATATATTCTCAGTTCTAGATGTTGTACTCAACTCAATAAAACTAATTGTGGATTTATTAGAAACACATATTTTTGAATATTCTTCATGGTTATATGACTTTAATTTCTTTGAGATAAATGTTTGAACTCAGAGAAGTGTTACACCTGCGTTTGAGCAGCGTAGTGTTGAGGTTAGGAGCACGGGCTCTGGGACCAGGCTCCGTAAATGAGAATCTTACTTTTGATAGCATAGGCATTGGACATGTGACAAATTTCTGATTCCCTCAATTTCTTTATGATGGATAGAAAATCTTAATGATGTTGAGAGATTTAAATGAGTCACTATTTATAAAGTGTCTATCATGATATTTGATACTTAGTAACTGCAAGGTGTTTGTGAACTAAAAATAAATATAACTGTATATAAAAACTTGTACCAAGAATTTATACCAAATAATGATATTTCTTAACTAGTTGCAGTTTCCATTATTTAAATAACCATTTTTGTGTCTTTCTCTTCTTATTTTTTTACAGCTTATCGTGAGCCTCATTATTATTATCAGTTCACAGCTCGATATCATGCAGCTCCATGCAATAGTATTTATAATATTTCTTTTGAGAAGAAACTTCTTCAGATTTTAAGCAAACTGGTTCTTGACCTTTCATGTGAAATTTCCTTACTTAAGTCTGAATGCCATCATGTTAAAATGCAAAAAGCTGGTTTGCAAAATGAATTGTTCTTTACATTTTCAGGTAAGTCCATACAGTTCTTTAGAAAAGCAACTTGAGGGGTCGGGCGCGGTGGCTCACGCCTGTAATCCCAACACTTTGGGAGGCCGAGGTGGGTGGATCATGAGGTCAAGAGATCGAGACCATCTTGGTCAACATGGTGAAACCCCATCTCTACTAAAAATACAAAAAATTAGCTGGGCATGGTGGCGCGTGCCTGTAATCCCAGCTACTCAGGAGGCTGAGGCAGGAGAATTGCCTGAACCCAGGAGGCGGAGGTTGCGGTGAGCCGAGATCGCGCCATTGCACTCCAGCCTGGCTAACAAGAGCGAAACTCCATCTCAAAAAAAAAAAAATATATATATATATATATATATACACACACACACACATACAAGAAGAACCATTCAGCTTAGTGTGCTTTCCTTAATAACGTGGAGTAGAGGCCCAATATTTTCTGGAAAACAAAGAATTGGACTTTATATTTATAATGGTTTGTTTATGAAGGAGCACTTAGGAATACCCATCTGTGTATTTTTAAGGGGTCCCAGTGACAGTAGGGCACCCCTCCCATTTTCATCTCAAATGAAATGTCGCTGCTTGCTATTTTCTTCTTCCTCATTTTTTTTTTCTGCTATCAGACTTTGATTGTATACCCATTTCTCTACTTTCCCTTCTCACTTTTTTTTTTTTGGCCGTCTAGGATTGAAGTTATAGAAACACAATTGAGAGGCATGAAGCTTTAAGGGAAAAGAACAAGAGAAGTTCAGCCCCATTTTCTGTCTTTTATCTCCCTTCTCTTTCCTTCTCTCTTCCCTTCTCTTCTCCCCTCTTTCCTTCTCCTCTGCCCTCACCTTCCCTCCCCTCTGCTGGCTACTCTACTTCCCTTCTCTGGCGTCCCCCTCCTTCTCTCTTCTCTTCTCCAGAAATACATTGAGAGTTTTTCTCCAGCCTCTGAGACTAATTACCAGAAATAGAATCTTTCTTTATTTCTTCAAGGACTTATTATTAGCATTCATAGGATTTATGGGGTCTTTGTTCCCAGGTCTGTTTAAAAAGTAGATCAGTCCTTAGAAAACCTGAAAGTGTGACTCACTTTGGGTTCAGCACTTTGGGAGGCCAAGGCATGTGGATCACTTGAGGTTAGGAGTTTTGAGACCAGCCTGGCCAACATGGTGAAACTTACCTCTAATAAAAATGTAAAAAATAGCCAGTCATGGTGGTGTGGGCCTATAGTCCCAGCTACTTAGGAGGCTGAGGCAGGAGAATCACTTGAACTCAGGAAGTGGAGGTTGCAGCAACCAGAGATCGTGCCACTGCACTCCAGCCTGAGTGACAGAGTGAGACAAAAAATAGAGAGAGAGAAAGAAAGTGAGAAAGAAAGAAGGAAAGAAAGAGAAAGAAAGAAAAAGAACCTGAAAGTGTACTGAAACTCATAAAAGAAATAATACCTAATAGAAACGAAGCATTGTGGGCTTGATTTGCATTTCTCCAAAGGCAAATGTTGTTGAACATCTTCTCATGCTTTTTTGGTCATTTGTGTATCTTCTTTGGAGAAGCGTTTATTCAAGTCCTTTGCTCAATTTAAAATTGGGTTGTGTGTCTTTTTGGTGTTGTTGTAAAAGTTCGTTGTATATTCCTAATACTGGATTCTAATTAATATGTGATATGCAAATATTTCTTCTATTTTATAGATTGTTTTCTCACTTTCTTAATAATGTCCTTTGATGCTCAATTGATTTTAATTTTGATGAACTCCAGTTTACCTATTTTTTCCTTGTGTTTCTTGTACTTCGGGTGATGTTTATAAGAATATATTGCCAAATCTGAGGTCATGAAGATTTATCCCTTCTGTAATTTTAGCTGTTACGTTTAGATCTAAAATTCTTTTTGAGCTAATTGTGTATATAGTGTAAGGTATAGGTTCAATCTTATACTTCATATTTTGCATGTGGCTATCCAGTTGCCCAAGAACATTTGTTGAAGAGACTATTCTTTTCCAGATTGAATTGTCTTGGCACCCTTATTGAAGGTCAGTTAACCATAAATATATGGACTTATCTCGATTCTCAAGTCTATTGCATAGTTCTGTTTTTCTGTTCTTATGTTAGTATGCCATTTTGATTACTGTAGCTTTGTGGTGCTTTTGAAGTTGAGAAGTGAGAGTTCCCTAAATTTTGTTCTTTCTTTTTAACATTGTTTTGGTAATTTGAGAGTGATTATAATTCCGTATGATTTTTAGCATCTCCTTCCCCGTTTGTGATGAAAATCACCATTGGAGTTTTGATAGGGATTGCATTGGATCTGAACATAGCTTTGGATATTATTGCCACCTTAACAATATTAAGTCTTGTAATCTGGGAACACAGGATAACTTTGCATTTATTTGAACCTGTTTAATTTCTTTCAGCAGCATTTCAGAGTTTTCCATGTATAAGCATAGTCCTGTAACTCTTGGCAAATGTATTTTGAAGTATTTTATTATTTCTGATGCTATTATAAGTGGAATTTTCTTAGTTCCCTTTATACGTTGTTCATGGCAAGTGTATAGAAATACACTGGGTTTTTAAAAATGGATTCTGCACCATTGGTTGAATTGCTTTATTAGCTCTAATAGTGGTTTTTGGCTTTGTTTTGTTTTGGGGAAATATTTAATAGTTTTTATGGAGAAGATCACATTGTCTGTGGCTAACAATATTTTTACTTAGCCCTTCCCACCCTAGATAAATTTTCCACATTTTTCTTGCAAAATTGTTCTTGCTTTAACTTTCAGCACAATGTTTAGTAGAAGGGGCAATATTGGCATCTTTGTTTTGTACTTGATCTTAGGAGGAAAGCTTTCAGTCTTTTCCTGTTAAATATGGTATTTGCTGTGGGTTTATAATTAAAGGATTTTTTTATTTTGTTAAATACTACTTTTATATGAAATAAGATTATTTATGTGTTTTTTATTTTCACCCTGCCTTCTATTAATACAGTATACTCTATTTTGATTGTTATATATTGAACAACCTTTGCTTTCCTGGAACATACCCTACTTGGTATGTTCTTCACTATGCTACTGGAATTGGTTTGTTATGTTTTTATTAAGAATTTTTGCATTCATGATGGGTATTGGCCTGTAATCCTATCATTTTCTGGCATTGGTGTCAGGGTAATGCTAGCTTCATGTTATGAGTTAGGAAGGATTACCTCCTCTTCTATTCTTTTGGAAGAAAGTGAGATGAATTTTATTTAATTCTTCTTTGACTGATAGAATATACATCACTGAGAGTTTTGGGTTCTGGGTTTTTCTTTGTTGGAAGGTTTTTGATTACTGATTCAAACTTCTTACTTAGTTATAGACCTATTCGTATTTTCTGTTTCTTCTTGAGTCAGTTTTGGTAGTTTGTTTGTGTCTAGCTAGTTATCTCATTTAGATTACTTAATTTATTGGCCTATGATGTTTATAGCATTCTCTTGTTATCCTTTTTATTTCTGAAAGATAGGTAGTAATGTCTCTACTTTGCTTTCTCTGTCTATGTGAATGTTTGCCAATTTTATTGTGTTTCTTCCAAAAGCCAATTTTGAAAAAAAATTTCTTTTTGCTTTTTCTATTCTCTATTTAGTTCATATCTTTTCTCCTCTTTATTATTTTTGCTACCTCTGGGTTTAATTCATTCTTTTTCTATTTTTTTAAGCTGTAACATTAAGTAATTGATTTGAAGTCTTTCTTCTTGTTAAGTATAGGTATTTATACTCACATATGTCCTTCTGAGTACTGTTTTAACTACAATCCATTCTTTTTGGTATGTTGTATTTTTATTTTCATTCATCTGCAAGTACTTTCATGTAATTTTTTTCCCTTGTAAATTTTTTTGACCTGTTGGTTGTTTAGGAGTATGTCGTTCCATTTCCACATATTTGTGAACATGCTAGATTTCCTTCTGTTATGGCTTTCTGATTTCTTTCTTTTGTGGTCACAGAAGTCTAGTCCAAATGACCACCAGGATGGCTAAATAGTAGAAATAAGAGATTTATTGGTGACATCAACTTACAGTCTGGAAAGATACACTCTTTGTTATGGACTGAAGGCACTCTCTCTTCCAAAAGGGAAAGAGGAGGTTGGGTTTTATGTCTCACAGGGTCCATATTAACAATAGAGTCTTCTATATTCAGTTTGTTTTGGGGTAAAGCTATACAGTTGCCTTCAGTATTCAGTAACATACTGTACAGGTTAGCCTAGTAGCAATAGCCTATACCATATAGCCTAGATGTGTGGTAGGCTATACCATTTAGGGTTTCTTTAAGTACAACCTATGATGTTTGCACAATAACAAAATTGCCTAACAACACATTGCTTAGAAAGTGTCTCTATCATTAAGTGATACATGACTATATTTCTTATCTTCTTCTTTACTTGCATTGAATTTTCATTTTTTAGTTTCCCAAATGGAAGCTTCAACTATTGAATTTAATTCTTTCTTCTTTTTTATGTATGTATTCAATGCTATAAATTTCTCTCTAAGCACTGCTTTTACTGCATACCACAATTTTTGATAAGTTGTTTCACTTTCATTTAGTTCAAAATATTTTAGAATTTTTCTTGAGACTTCTTTTCTGACCATTGTATTGTATATTAGTATGTTGTTTAATGTCTTAGTATTTTGGGGTTTGGCAACTATGTTTCTGTTAATGATTTCAAGATGAATTCTGTTGTGGTCTGAGAGCATACATTGTGTGATTTTTATTCTTTTAAATATGTTGAGGTGTTTTTTATATGGCCCAACCTGTGGTTTGTCTTGTGAATATTTTATGTGATCTTGAGAAGAAAATGTATTCTGCACTCTTTGGATGAAATCTTCTTTACATATCTGTTGGATACAGTTGATTGATGGTGCCCTTTAGGTCAAATGTGTCCTGATTTTTTGCTTTCTGGATTTGGTAGTTACTGATACAGGGTATTGAAGTGTCCATCTTTAATACTGTATTCTTCTGTTTCTCCTTGAAGTTCTGTCATTTTTGTTTCACATATTGTTACTCTGTGTTATTACACAAATACTCATTAGGGATTTTTATGTCTTTTTAGAGAATTGACACTTTCATCATTATATAATGACTCTATCTATTCCTGATAATTTTGTTTGCTATGATATCTGTTTTGTCTGAAATTAATATTGCTACTCCAGTTTTTTTCTAAGTTAGCATAATATAGTTTTCTTCATCACTTTACTTTTAATCTTTTCATGTTTTTATATTTAAAGAGGATTTCGTTAAACAACATATGATTGCTCCTTTAGCTCAGAGGAGTTTGTTACTACCCACCTTCTGAAGCCTAGTTCTGTCAATTCATCACACTCATTCTCTGTCCAGTTTTGTTTGCTTGCTGGTGAGGAGTTGTGATCCTTTGGAGAGGAAGAGGTGTTCTGGTTTTTGAAATTTTCAGCCTTTTTGTGCTGATTTCTTCCTATATTTGTGGATTTATCTACCTTTGCTCTTTGAAGTTGATGACCTTCAGGTGGGATCTCTGAGAGGATGTCTTTTTTTTTTTTTGATGTTAATACTATTCCTATCTGTTGGTTAGTTTTTCTTCTAACAGTTGGGCTCCTCTGCTGCAGATCTGCTGGAGTTTGCTGTTCACTCCAGACCCTGTTTTCCTGGGTATCACCAGCAGAGGTTGCAGAAAAGCAAAGATTGCTGCCTGAATTTTTCCTCTGGAAGCTGCTTCTTAGCAGGGCACCTGCCAAATACCAGCCAGAGCTCTCCTGTATGAGGTATCTGTTGGCCCCCACTGGGAGGTGTCTCCAAGTCTGGATACATAAGGGTCAGGGGCTCACTTGAGGAGGCAGCCTGTCCCTTATCAGAGCTTGAATGCTGTGCTTAGAGGTCTGCTGCTCTCTTCAGAGCTGTCAGGCAAAGACATTCAAGTGTGCTGAAGCTGTGTACACAACCGCCACTCCCCCCAGGTGCTCTGTCCCAGGGAGATGGGGTTGTATCGATAGGTCTCTGAATGGGGTTGCTGTCGTTTTTTTTGGAGATGCCCTGCCCAGAGAGGAGAAGCAGTGTGCTCTACCCAGCTTGAACTTCCCTGAGGCTTTGTTTACACTGTGAGAGTAAAACTGCATACTCTAGTCTCAGCAATGGCCAGTGTCCTTCCCTCTGCCCATCCCACCCCTCCCCCACCAAACTCGAGGATCTCAGGTTGTGCTGGCAATGAGAATTTCAAGCCAGTGGATCTTAGCCTGGTGGTCTCCATGTGGGTGGGAACTGCCAAGCCAGACTACTTGGCTCCCTGGCTTCAGTACCCTTTCTAGGGAAGTGAGTGATTCTTTCTTGCTGGCATTCCAGGTGCCACTGGGATATGAAAAAAGCTCTTGTGGCTAGCTCAATTTCTGTCCAAACAGCTGCCCAGTTTTGTACTTGAAACCCAGGGCCCTAGTAGTGTAGGCACCAGAGGAAATCTCCTGATCTGCCAATTGTGAAGACTCTAGGAGAAGCACATAGTATCTGGGTTGGAGTAATTAATAGCCTACTAACCAAAAAAATCCAGGACCAGATGGATTCACAACTGACTTCTACCAGAGGTACAAAGAGAAACTGGTTCCATTCCTTTTGAAACCATTCCAAACCATAGAAAAAGAAGGAATCCTCCCTACTTCATTTTATGAGCCCAGCATCATCCTGATACCAAAACCTGGCAGAAACACAACAAATAAAGAAAAATTAAGGCCAGTTTCCCTGATGAACATCGATGGAAAAATTCTCAGTAAAAGACTGGCAAACCAAATCCAGCAGCACATGAAAAACTTATCTACCACAATCAAGTCAGCTTCATCCTGGGATGTAAGTCTTGTTCAACATATGCAAATCAATAAACATAAAATCCATTGCATAAATAGAACCACTGACAAAAAACACATGATTATCTCAATAGATGAAGAAAAGGCCTTTGACAAAATTCAACAGCCTTTCATGCTGAAAACCCTCAATAAACTAGGTATTGATGGAACATATCTCAAAATAATGAGACCTATTTATGACAGACCCACAGCC